TAAAACCTATTTAAAGAAACTAAAGTTACACACTAATTCTTAGCAAATAAAGAAAAGATTTGTTGTTAAAGACTTAGAAAAAAGTAACTTCTATCTGGGAGAGAACTGTTTATAATACAATAAAGAGATTCTAACTTGCTCTTGAAGATGAGCGTATTGTTCTTAGATGTGTGTGTTCTGTTACTTAAGCATAAGTCAGTTCAGAGTAAGGAGTATCTCTGCATAGAGATAGAACACATCTATTTATACCCATTGCATTAAATGCACATTTAATGCAACGTGGTAGGGTTAGAACGTGTCTCAAGCCTTTGGAGAAAGACTTGTCCTTTGCTATAGTGAATAGTACAAAAGCCTATTCAAGAGCAAACATCCTTTCATAAAGTTGGTGGGTAATAGGGTCAACTAATCGGCTTCGTACCGTACTATCTTTTAGAGGGGGTATGGGATTGTCCCTTGTGTGTATGAGGACAAGACAAAAGCAATCGTGCTCAAGAAGATTCTTTTGATCGCTGAATGCTGGAATAACCTGAAGGTCTCTTCAGCATTCGCTAAGACTTGGGCAGTCTTCACACATATGTAGACAAGGTTGTAACCACTGAATACCGCTTCAGATCATGTACTCGCCAGTGTCTAATCTTCAGTTTCTGTTTTCGACTTTCGCTGAAGGTTCTTTGGTGTGAGTTTTGTCTTTTTGAAGTATTGTTGTCGCAAATTGGATTTGCATTAGAAGTTATTCAACGAACACTGAATAGACTGAGTGATGATCGCTCGAACTGAAAACATGAATATAAATACTTCGTATAAGGTAAAAGGGATTATGATCAAATCAATGAGAGAGAGGATCAACAATCTCCCCCAATTTGATGATAACAAGACAACGTAAAGAAAGAAAGGAAAAGTGACACATAAAGTACATGTCCTTTTTATCTATTTTGAGATCTTTTTCAGTGAATCAGTTTTCACTTGAAGAATTATCTTAAGTTAAGTATAAGAAAAGTTACAAGAAGGGAAACTAAAACTGAAAGCTTATTCACTGACTTATAGATTGTTAGTGAATGTAAAAGTAACAATGGAACTCAGAGACTTGTGTCCCTATTACTTTTTTTAGGGATCTTTTTCAGTGATGCTCAAAAACACTTATATTATTTTCATGGGAAATATTACAAGACGTTCAATACATGTCTAAAAGTTACAAAGTATAAGATTAATCACTGAAAGTAGACATAGTAAGTAGATTACAGTACATGAACAATATTACAAAGAAAATAAACTAGTCTAAGTTGTTTAGATTAATGTAGCCAGGTACAACTTCTCCAAGCTTCTTTCGACATAGGAATTCATTTCATATCCTTCGGTCCATAATCCATCCATTCAAGTCATCATCTAGGTATAAAGTAAGATACACGATGTAACATCCACCTATTTAAATATGCTTAACTAGTAATTATAAGCATACCTTATGTGTTATTTTTTTTTTTTTTTGCTAAAATGCTAAAATGCCAAGTATACTAGTGAGCTATAAGTAGAACTCATAATTGGAATGAGATGTAGAAGGTAATATTGGTGCTAACACCTATCAATTGACATAATTAGATAATGTGAGGGTTCAACATACAAAGTTCATTGCATACATGATAGTTGTCTAGAGTGCCTAAATGAGAAAAATCTACCCAAAACTTGAATGAAAGATCTAAATGGTAATCTAGATGCTGGAACACCTTTGAATAAGTTAATATGAAGTGTTATAATTGTCGGAAGTCGAAAAAGTCGCGTAGATTGCATAAAGTTTTTTCAAATTACGGTATGATTTCGATAAATTACGTGCACAATACTCAATCAGGAGGTTTTTGATAGGATGTTAAGCTTTGGAACTAAGTTTTGGACGTATTAGGAGTTGTTGGAGGTGTCAGAAAATTTTTACGGGATTCCGAACTCAAAATCAAAAACGGCAAACTTTCAAAGGAAAGCATCACTCATACAAATATGAAAACTTCTGTTATTGGGAGGTCTTTTATGAAACCTTTTTCTTGTAAATTATATATTACCATGTTATGAACGCATAGGCAAAAACCTTATCAAAAACGGAGTTTCGAGCGAAAAGTTATGCAATTTTTAGTGTTTAATGGCCAAAACGGGTACCCAGCCGGGTCAAACCGACCCAACTCGGGTTTTAGACATATAAACACGAATTCAGCCCCAATTCTTTCCCATTTTCGTTTCTAATCTTCTGTACTCTTCAAGGGAACCAAACTTGGGTGTTTTAGCAAGAAATTGGTGAAATTTTTGCAAGATTATTGAAGGTATGCTTCCATTTTTAATAATGTATTCACTTTGAGTTCAAGAAACCATGAAATTAGGGTTGCATGTTGAGAATTATAGGCTGAAATCTTGATATTGTGTAGGATATGTAATACATAACTTATTATCTTGTGGAAATCATGATTAGATAACAAGAAATCGTTGTGTATACATGATATGGTTTGGGAAAGTTTGACTTTTGAAAGTCAACCTTATATAAAGATGAACTAGGTGAATGTTTAGTAAAATAATGATGGATTCATGATGATTTCATATAATTTACGGTAATATAAGACTAATATATGAATTTGGTACAAAATGGTTTGGAGTTTAACCTGAAAAGGTGAAAAATAGCTATTTTCGAGTTTGAAAGTCTTGGTATAAGATCTGTTTTAGAAAAATCGTATAAAATTGTAGAAAAATCCTAAAAATATGTACAAATAGGTTTTGGAGAGGTACGAAAAAGTTATACAATTCATATTTGAAAGTCATTTAATGATTTTGAGTTTAAGAAGGTCCAAACAGGTCTGCAAGTAGGTGCTGTAAGGAGAAAACTAAAGTAGAAAACTTGAATTAAAAAGGGGTAATTTTATGTTCTTGTTGTGCATTGCTAATAAGACTTTATATATGAACTTCAGGTGTTATTTAAGCATAATTTAAGGCCTTGGAAGTGCTTTCCAACCACTGAACGGGAGTTAGGATTCGACCTTTCGGTTTGGCTTC